ATTTCTTACCAATTTTAATATTTTATTATTTTTATAACTCATCAACTTTAAAAATTATATTTCATCTCATATTTATTCACAATATTAAATTTATCTCACTTTGCAAAATCAAAATTTTTCCCTTTTTCGTCTCACTATTTTATAGGAAACAAAAACATTAAAAAAAAAAATCTTATATTCCATTTTTGTCCAGTAAATTTCGAACTGCTAATACGTTTTAGCTCACAACCTGTAGATTTCTCAATTGAAGTCAGGTACTTTAAAATGAAAATCAATTATTACTAGACAATTTATGATAAAATACATAATTTTTCTATTCATATATCGTATTTTGTTATCATACAATATACTATCTATTGTACATTCTTTACAACACTAACAGTTCTTAACGTATTTTTACTAAATTGTGATCACAATTTTCAAATTATTATTTTTTTTCTCCAAAAATATCTATTTAAATAAATGCAATAAAAGAATGCTAACAAAATATATCCAAACCCCACTCACTTATTTGCCTCTTGTCTTCACAAATACATGCAAGATTAATTATACTGTTAAAATTAGAGACACAAAATGATTATTTCTATTTGTGCAAGATTAATTATACTGTTAAAATTATAGACACAAAATGATTATTTCTTTATAGCAGCATGCAGTCAAACAATCATTGTGTTAAATAATTATGCACAAGATAGACATGAAAATTAGATGGATCATAACATTTCAGTTTTTATTGTTATTTTTTTATATAAAATGCGAAAATGGGTTTCATGATTATAAATATAAAATATTAAAAAATGCTAAATTGAAGGCCGTTCAAGGATGGGACCTAACGCCGTTAAAAGGGCCATATCTAGCCGCAAATAGAACCTTTTTCTTTTCACTTTTTCCCCCCCATTTATTTGTTTTCATTTTTATGATTACTTGAATAAAAACGTTTCTAATTTGCAAGCCGGCGGTATAGTGGGGTTTTAGCTTCATTGCGCGTGTTATGTGACCAACTTTTGGGTCAATTTTGTACTCGCGTTCACCGTAGACACGTGTTAATAAATTTAATCGTCAGATATAATAGTCAATGGGCCTGGCTCGTTAATTTTGAACCTGATTATGAGAATTAATAGGTAAATTTTGAAAGATAATAAATAAAATTTGAAAACTCAACGGTTTCGGATCGCGAGTTTATAGACATTGGACTGACATCAATCACAAGATTGAACGTCAAAATTTGACCGTTGTGGGAGTCGACCCGATCTCCAACCAGTTGGTTGTATTTTTTATATAGGCTTGAGATCTGCTCGCCAAAAAACTGGGTCAGGTCTCGATTCTGGCCTAAAACCCATTGTCAATGGGCTCAACCCATTGGTCACGTGTGCCACCAATTGACACGTTAGAAAAATAGCATATTATATGTGGTAAATATTGAGAAAAATAACATATTATATGTGGTAAATATTGTTTTTAAAGGTCGCGAGATATTGATGAGTGTCTGGTAGTAAGGGTGTGCATCGGTCGACCCAACCGAATTAGGAAAACTAAAATAACCGAACAGTATTATGCCAATAATTGAAACCGACCGAATTAACAATTTAAACTGAACCTAACCGACCGAACTTCTTGGTCGGTTTCGGTAGGTTTGGTCAAACCGACCGAATTGTACATTTTAAAATATATATAATATGGTATATACATAATATAATATATGTATTATATTTTATATATAAATATGTATATATATATATATTATTTCGGTCGGTTCGGTTATTTCATAAATTTGATGTCCGAAAACCGACACCGAAATAACCGAAACATAATTCAACTAAAACCGAAAACCGACCGAGTCGGATAAAAACTGAACCGAAATTTTTTGGTTCGGTCGGTTTTTTCGGTTTTAGTCGAAATATGCACACCCCTATCTGGTAGGCACATTTGATGTCAATTATAGTATTTGTAATTAATTTGATATATTATATTTAAAAAGTAGAAAAGGGTGATATATGAAAATTGCTATTATCTTTTTGATGAAAAAAATATTGAATGTTTGACTCATATATACGATAGATAACAAAAGGAGGAAAATGTATGGAGATTAAAATTCAGAAAATTTATAATGAACAAAGAAAAAAACTTACTACTTTTGACATTTGTTGTTTTAGTATGAAATGATTTAATTTTCTTAAGAAAAATATTGATTATTTGATTCAATTGTTAGAAAAAAAAGGAAAATATAGAGACATTAAATGCAGAAAATGTAAACAAATTAACAAAGAAAAAAAAATAACTATTGATATTTGTTTTGATTTTAGAAATCTATTTCTACTTAATGACTAACCTGTATATGGTGTTTAGATATATAATCCAAATTATCGATTTTCTCAAATTGGAGTCTCCTCAAAACTGGATTACGAATTATGAGGATTTCGTGTTATGAAATTAATTTGCGAGTGATAATATGATTTTATTTTGTGAATCTAAACCACTTAACCAGAAATCATTTTGAGAACTATATCGTTATTATGAATGAAAAATAATAATATAAACTAAATACGTGCACACACACATATATAAAGTTGTTGAAAAAATACATATATAAATAATAACTTTGACTTTTTAATTAAATAACTTGACTTTGTATTACATGGAATTTTTTGAAATAAATTGAATAATTCACCATCTAACTACATCTACATACTCGATGTTTGGTAACGATTCTGATGATCAAATTTGATTATATCAAATGAGCGGAGTTTATATAAGACTTTAGTTTATATTTTTTCATAATTAAATGTTTGAAGATAATTCGATTCTTAATAAATAAAACACTTGATTTTCTATACATTAATATTTTCTCTAATTTAATGTTTCGAGATAATATAAACAAAACACTTTATTTTTTAAAAAAGATGTAATTTGTAAATACTATATATGCACAAACGCAATAAGTTAATGCAATTTAATGTAATCAAATGTATTTAGAAAATCATATATCAAGGAGATTAATTATAATTTGCTTGCCAAAATTAGCAATTTTATTTTCACAAATCAATTAGGCCATTTAGTGTAAAAATTATGGATTTAGGGGCTCTTAATTAAAACTGTGTATATAAGGTAGTAATTACAACAGAAAAATATTATACTCCTTCTACTCATTTACAAGTGCAGTGGTGAGAGGCCAAAAATTTTAGTAGCTTCTTCACTTTTAGTGAGGTAACTTTTTATTTATTTATTTATTTATTTTATTTTTCTAGTTTCAAATTATCTTACGATTCTGTTGATGAGATTTGAAAAGTAAAGATACTGTTATGGTGTTTTTCTTGTGGTGGAAATATTTTTGAAAAGGATACTTTTTTTTATTTATTTCAGTTTATATAGCTACAAATTATATTAGAATTTTACATTACATTTAATCAAATTGGAACATTTGTCCTAGTTCGAATGTTTGATTTTAAGAATGACAAATCATGTTATCAGGTCTTATAATAAGGAAGTTCAAATTTAACTAAATTTTGTATTTTTCGTGTATATCTTCGTCATGCCTTAGTATTTTGTGTCCATCATATCATTTATTTTTCATATAATTTTGTTTTCCAATTGTATTGTATTGTCATCCTATTTTATTTGGTAGATAAGAAATCTTAGCACAATAAAGGAAAAATTAAAGAGGGGCATGTCCCATGTTCCCTAAATAACCGGATAAATAGAAAATTGGTTCTTCAAAGTTCAAAGTAAAGGTCATTTGTTTTGGGCTGAAATTATANAAAAAGCCAAAAAAAAAAAAAGAAAAATTATAAAGAAATAAATAAAATAACTGAACAATTCTTGTAATTCACAAAAACTGATTTCTTGTACCACGTTTCTCATAATTATTAAATACAGTTCAGACTTTCTTTTCACATTTGACTTTCTTTTATTTATTTTTAATCTCTTTTTAGCCCCTGCATGTGAACAATTATTTCTCCTCAGCCCTCTAACTTTCCGTTATTTCCACAAAAATAATTTAGTCTATAATTCACACGGCCTTCGTAGAGAAAAACAAGAGATTTTGATTCATGCATTTGACTCTGTATACAAAATCTCTCGATACCCACTCTAAAGAACAAAGACCGAGAATCGAATCACATGGTAGAATATCGTGAGCACAATAAAATTATATATAAAAGAAAGGTGAAATTTCAAATAAAAATTAAAAAAAAAAGAGAAAAATAAAATCATTGAGATAATATTTAATAGGTATATAGTTATAAACTGACCGAGCTCTAGCTCATAATATTCAAATTTGAGCTCAAACCTTCGGTTCGACTTGTTTAATCGAGTTGCTATTTGGTAGGTCTAGCAGTCTATAAACAAATCGATCGAGCTTGAGCCCCTAATATTCTAATTCAAACTCAATTATTCTTAACTAAACAAACTGATAAACAAGTTTGATGTTGATTCGTTTATTTATATTAACAAGTCGATTCACAACTAATTAACTAGACGAGGTTTAAATGAACTTGAGATCTGCTCGTTTATCAAATAAATCGAGTGAAACTCGAAGCCTTAACTAGAAGAGTTGAGCTTACGAGCAACTCATTTCTTTTAGCAATAATAAGTGTTTCTATTTTCTAGTAACTCAACTAAATAAGATTTACACGAGCTCAAGCTATACGCGTTTATCAAATAAAACGAACAAAACTCGAGGCTTAATGTAGAACTCATGAGCAACTCGTTTCATTTAACAATTATAGGAATGTCTAACAACTAAGTTGTCTTACTTTTTTTCAAATACACATATTTTATAATAAAAATGTGATAATTTAAAAAATTATATAAATAAAAGCACAACATTTCCTATGCAAATAATCGTTTAACCGGTTCACACAATGATTTATAAAAATAATAAACCATACACGCCAAAAGGGAGCCGTAATTAATACACCACCCCCACCATATCCTTCTTTATACCTTATTTATAATCTTCTTTTATATATATATATATATTAGACCACTTTTATTAGAATCAGAAAATCCCATTTTCTCGTGTTTGCTCACTCACGCTCCTCTGTAATAAACTCTCTCTGCAAAACACTATTAAGAAAGGTGAAAAAGAAAAAAAAAAGGACTGTTTTTCTCTTCCCAGCAGAAAGTTTGCTGCTTTTGAGGGCCTCATCGCCGTCTTCAGAAAAATTTATTTTCTTGAAGTGCATTTATAAAGGCTACACAGATTTAGTGTAGCTTTTTTTCTATCTGGGCTGCATTAATTTAAAGCTATTTGCTATTGTTCAATGAAGAAATCCCCGACGTTTTAAGAAAAAGAAAAAAAAAAAAACAGAAAAATAGCTTTTTCTTAATCTTTTCAATTCAAAAAAAGAGTGCTTTTTTTTTCTGGGTGCTCGTTGTTCCATTACCTCCGAGGTTTTGGGTTTCTTGAAAGGGACTAATCAAAACAGTAAGGTATTTTCAGAAAGTGAAAGTTTGCATTTTTATTTTTATTTTTTTTATTTTCACATTCTTTTAAGTTTTGTTTTTCGGGCCTGATTTTGTTTCTTTTGCTTTGGATCTGGGGAATTTCCTCGGGCTCTTCACATATAGAATTTTCATTAATTTATCGAATTTTTAATTTTTTTGTATTTTCAGATCTACCCGAAAAAAAAAATGTTGACTGAAAAACAAGCAGAGGAAGCCATAGTCTCCAGCTTCAACGACGCCGACGGCGGCGCCAAGGCGGAGGAGGCGGCGTCGGAGGCGGAGGAGCAGGGGATTTTCAGCGTCAAGAACATGCTCTGGCACGGCGGCTCCGCCTGGGACGCCTGGTTCAGCTGCGCCTCCAATCAAGTAAAACAAACCTCATTAGCTTTCTTCATTACGGCCCGTCAAGATTCGATTTTTATTGATTTTTACTCGTTTTTATTGCTTCCAAACTGTAAAAGATTCGATTTTTATTAAATTTTCCTCGTCATTTTACACCTCCAAACTGAAAAAGATTGGATTTTTAACAGGTGGCCCAAGTTCTTCTGACCCTGCCGTACTCTTTTTCGCAACTGGGCATGCTTTCCGGCGTCGTTTTCCAGATATTTTACGGGCTGATGGGCAGCTGGACGGCGTATCTTATAAGTGTTCTGTATGTCGAATATCGGAGCAGAAAGGAGAAAGAAGGTGTTAGCTTCAAGAATCATGTTATTCAGGTATGATTATTTTTTTTTTGGAAATATTAAGAATAGATTTATTTATTTATTTATTTTTATGTTTGAATTATTGCAGTGGTTTGAGGTGCTGGACGGCCTGCTCGGCCCGTATTNTTTTTCGATATTTTGTTTTGTTTGTAGTAACATATACTAAACCACATATTTTGTAGCTAATTTTCTCATTAAAGCTACACTTTTGTTGTTAGAATTCTTGGACTCATAAAATTGACATGGGTTTTTGATGAATTTTTTCATTTAATTTTAACTTCTTTTTATTTTTTATTTTTTTTCAATTTTGCAGCAACATATACTACATTAATGACCACCTGGATAAAAGGACATGGACTTACATATTTGGGGCTTGCTGTGCAACTACTGTGTTTATTCCCTCTTTTCACAACTACAGAATTTGGTCCTTTTTGGGCCTTGGAATGACCACTTATACTGCTTGGTACCTCACTATTGCAGCTATTGTTCATGGCCAGGTAATTAGTTGATTTTTAATTAGTTAAATTATTGGGGTAATTAACTTTGTCTTTTTTTTTTAATAAATATAATGATAAATTTATTTATTTTTTTATATAAAATAGGTTGAAGATGTGCAACACTCAGGCCCCAAAAAGCTGGTTCTGTATTTCACAGGGGCTACAAACATACTCTACACTTTTGGTGGCCATGCTGTTACTGTGTAAGTTTTTCTTTACTTTAAATATTTATTTTTTTATATCTGTATTATTTTCTGTGTAATAATAATTATTCTTATTTACATGTCTGTTTGTAAAGTTTTCAAAAATCATCTTCTTTATTCCCCTTCTTCTGGGCTTCTCTTTGCAGCTTTTGCAGGCTTTTTTTCTTGGGGATTGTAAATAAAAACATTAGATAATACATCATAATATCATAATTAAGTTTGAACACAAACTCTTGTATTATGAATTTATGCATCCTCATGTCATACTTTTTTCTATAAAAATGTATACTTGTGATAAGAATCTCACATTTCAGTTTTAAAGTAAACGATTTTGTCGAAAAAATACAATTGTTTAACTGTTACACAATCTCACTCAATCTTACTGTAAAATTAATTACCCAGAACAAGTGAACAACAATATGAAGTGCTAATTTCTGTTTTAACTGCTTATTTTACATATTGTACCAGTACCAAATGGCCCCATTACATTTAAAACTCTAGTGCCCATATTCTGAAAAGCACTTCTTTTCCTGCTTTGCATCACCTCAATAATTGCCCAATGTTCCCATTTGTTTGAGGGGAATATTTCTTTTCACTTGTTGTAAAATCACTAGTAATCTCAATTAATCTCATAACTCTTTCTACTTTTTACCGATGCGTTAAAAAATAAAAATTACATGTTTACAGTGAAATTATGCACGCGATGTGGAAGCCCCGAAAGTTCAAGTACATTTACCTTTTGGCCACATTGTACGTTTTCACTCTTACCTTACCATCGGCCTCTGCAATGTATTGGGCGTACGGAGATCAACTTCTCACTCATGCTAATGCATTCTCTCTCCTCCCGAGGACCGGTTGGCGTGATGCTGCCGTTGTTCTCATGCTCATCCATCAGGTGACTGATGAGCCTTTTTCGATCGAATTTTTAAATTGTCTCAATTTGTCATCATGCTCGATAAATTTTTGCGCTAAACCTTGATATTCGTGCGAATAACTTGTCTATATATGTCGTAAGTTCATTAGATTATTTAGCAATTCCGACTTTTGTTTAGCGTATCGAAACTTGAGATACTCGTCGTGATATGACGTATAAATGGTTACGGTTGAAATTGCCCTTTTAAGTTCGGTTTAATTAGCCATGGGAAATAAAAGTTGTCTTGTTTTATCATCACACTCGACTATTTTCGCGCTAAAACTCTATTTTTGTGCGAAGAACTTGTCGATATGTCATCAATTCATTAAATTATTTAGCAATTGTGACATTTATTTAGCGTGAGATACTCGTCATGACGTGGCGTATAAATGGTACGGTCGTATTTTCCCTTTTATGGTCGGTTTAATTAGCCACGGGAAAATACAAGGGGCTTTTCTCGTAAATTGAAGACATACTTTTTGTCGTTTGTTGACTTGTTTAATGGTTCGGTTTTGAAAATAAATGAATTTATTTACAGACAAAATTATTCCATTCCCAAATTGATTCAAGTTGAGTTCCAAACTTTCAAATCCCTAAATCATTCATGAATTTCAAAGTAATTTCTCGCCTCGTCGATTCCTTTAATCGTGCTTTTTTCCAATGTGGGTCAACTCATAAGATTTAGTTAGACAACATTTTAGCTTTTTTGTACTATTTCTTGCTCGACTAACGTGTGAATCGTGGTCGTGCATGCAGTTCATCACGTTCGGGTTCGCGTGCACGCCATTGTACTTTGTTTGGGAGAAAGTAATCGGAATGCACGACACGAGAAGCATATGCTTGAGGGCGCTTGCTAGACTCCCAGTTGTGATACCGATTTGGTTTTTGGCCATAATTTTCCCCTTTTTCGGCCCGATCAACTCAGCTGTCGGAGCCCTATTAGTGAGCTTCACCGTTTACATTATCCCATCGCTTGCTCATATGCTCACGTATAGGAAAGCCTCCGCTCGACAGGTATTTTTTGATTTTTTAAAATAAAATATATTATTTTTTCGTCATTTTTTTTTTCTTATTTACTGTGCAACTTCACTTATTAAAAATAGGAAGAATATTTTTTGTAATTTATTTTGAATTTTTTCCATGTAATCTAAACACCTGGTCCGTATCTATGTAGGAATTAGGAAATGGCTAGAGAAATTAATTGAAGGGTAGACTTTGACCTTGGCCCAGATCATATCTGAAATAAATATAAATAAATTTATTATATCTGTATATTTTTATATAGAGAGAAATTAAATTAAAAAATCAAATATAGTTACCAGTTGTCTAGGGAAGCAATGCATTGAGTGCCACAAATCTCGAAAATCGCCAAGACACTAACGTGTAGGTGGCAGGTCATTTTCAATTTAGCTATTATTTATATATATTCCAAATTTTGAACAATAGCAAATTATAATTTTTTAGTTTGTTACATAATTTCACAATTATATCAATAACAATAACCTAAATTAATTTGTCTCATTCGATAATTTGCGTTTTTAAATTGGTGGTTAATGGTTAAATTTCAGAATGCGGCCGAGAAGCCGCCGTTTTTCATGCCGAGCTGGACGGCAATGTACGCCGTGAACGCCTTTGTGGTGGTTTGGGTCTTGGTAATCGGGTTCGGGTTTGGAGGTTGGGCCAGCGTTACAAATTTTGTGAGGCAAGTGGACACATTTGGGCTTTTTGCAAAGTGTTACCAGTGCAAGCCTCCGCCAGCGGCCCACTCAACACCGCCACACCATTAATGGGCTTGGGCTTAGAAAGAAAGTCAGTACAAAGAAATGGGCTTTTGTTTTTTTTTTCTTTTTCTTTTTCTTTTTCTTTTCTTTTTAATGTAATATAATTAGGGGAGATATTAAATATTTTCCCTTGAATGTTTGTGTGTGCTTTTTTTATTTTATTTTTTTATGGAAAAAGGATATAATTTTGTTGTTTAAATTGATAGGGGAGGTGTAGTGTGTTGGATTGTGGTGATTCCTTTGCTTTGTTAAAGCATTGTTAATTAAGTACAGGTCAATATTATAGGTTTGTTTTTATTTTTTCTTTTTATTTGTAATGTGTTATGCACTTATGCTCTTTAATTTTGTTGCAATAGAATATTGATCAGTTGCAGTCTTTAATGCTTTGATCTGTACATGGCTAGTAGACTAGGCCTGAATTGGAAAAAAAAATAATAATAATTAAATAAAAATTGAGTGGCCCAATATTTATTTTGAAATACATGATTAAGATGTCATTGGAGATTTTAAGGAATTGTCAAATTGATGTGAGTACTAAAATGAATTAATTATGATATTTTTGTAAAAGGAAATGCAAAAGGCATTTCTGTTTCCTATTTTAAAATAATATTATTTTATTGACACTTTTTTTTAAGCAAGTATTACATTTAATATTGTCCGTGTCAATACATTATTTGCAATTGGCTCCATATGAAAGCAAATTTTATCCCTTTATATTTTTTGACTCACTAATATTGATTTATAAATAATTTCATATAAATGTATCAGGAATTAAACTTTTGTTACCATCTATGCATACTTTATTTATTCATTAAAAGTAAGTTACAAATAACTTTTGATCAAATATTACAGGTAAATAAACTTTTTTTGAAGGGGGCAAATTGGTAATAACAATGAGGTATGAAATGGGCAGCCGACGCAATCACATGGGCTGCACGTTTGTTTCTTTGATTGTCACGTGCCAACTCTCTTAACTTTAAATCTCATATAACTAATGAAAATAAAATATAAAAATTTGAGTTTGGAAGCTTCATTTGCAACAAATTGTGCATACTTGACTTTTAATTTTTTTTTTGCCATTGGTTATAAGGTTTATTTTATTTTATTTTTTATCTCTTCACTTAAGATTTACTTCAGTAACATAGGAAACAGAGTAAAAAAAATCCATAAAAAGTACAATTCACATCTACTAATTTTTTTATTTGTAATCTCTTTAACATAATTAAAAAATAAAAATTATTAATATTATATAGTTTTTTCAACAAAAAAATACTTATCATCCGCGCACTACATATTTATAACTAGCAATGGCCATCAATCAATATGATATTCATGTTTTTACATCAATCAAATTAACATTAATTATTATATATTTATCATATATCTATTCATAATTTTGAATTTATCTTGCTCTCTCTAATCAGAGCTACCACCTTCACCAACTTTTTTTCATTGCAACAGTTGTAAAAAAAAAATATCCTATAATTTTTTCTATAGTTATAACCGTTAATTGATGTTTACTCAAATAATTAATACATTTGTCACCATTGGAGGATCAAAATGAGAATAAAAATCCCTTAAAAACTGGTGCAGATCATTTGACAAGTCATTAGTTACATAAATTAATTCATCAAGTCAAAATCAAGCTCATGAATTATTATATACTAAAATAAAATCTGCAAAAATGATCTCTCTTTTTCTTTGTGTTTACAATTCGATAATTGTATATTAATTTAGCAGTTGACTATTATAAAAAAAGAAGGGTATTTTGTGGCCTAAGTTCCTCAGGACTATCTTCCAGCTTTTCAGACTATCTTGTAACAGCATTTAGTGCTGCAATTAATTAACATTATTCCACATAAAGTTGAACACTTTTTCTTAGTGTGCTGACTTTTGCAGTGTGAAATCATGAAGTTTAATTACTATTTATAGGTGCTGATTAGTAATATAATTAGTTAATTACATTAAAAACGCAGTCAGTAAAAATATTAATTTCTATGGGCGCCCAGGTTTTGAAAACTATGTGAGAAAATAACTAATATAATATATAGTAATAATCAAATATAATGATTAATTAATTTTTTTACTGCATTTTCTGGGGCTTCTAATCACGATATTTAGTTTCCTTTACTTCATATGTATGTGGTTATGTTTAATTAAATTAGTATTCGAAATTTTGAATTAGACGATGCGTGTGTTATATTTTAAAATTTTGATTATATGTTAATGTACAATATAAATATAAATTATTTTACTTACATATGAACTATTATATTGATTACATAAAATGTAATGGATAATGTAATTTTGAATTTAGAGGAACCATCAAATTAATTAGTTAGAAAAGTATTATAATTATTTTTATTATTGTTATAACAACTGTTTATGTGATTTTAAGGAGTTTTAATATGGCACTCATACCAATTAACTAATATTAATAATATGAAAAAATAATATTTATTGTAAAATAAATATCTTAACGAAAGAAGTTCGCAATATAATTTTATTAACGATGTAACTCTTCACATAAGATTTAATGTAAATTTATAATTAGTTAGTATTAGTAGTACTATTATATAATAAATTAGTTTAAAATTTTTACTACACTGATTTAGTGTAAAATGTAATGGTTTCCTTTTACATTATCTATATATATATAATAAGAATTAACATTTAACAAAAATAGTAGCAAAAAAATAGGAAAGAATTTAATGCAACCTATAAATCGTAAGTTTTATTAATTTTTTATTTTTATCTTTAAAAAATCATACAACATTAAATGTTGCATTAAATTTTGGGCTTTAATTCATTTATTATTAAAAAATTTCAGCTAAGATCTATTAAGTGTACATTTTTATTTTTTTCATAGAAATAATGAAGAACATTAAAATCTCAGTCTCTATATTTATAAAATCTCACTTCAAAAGGTAATAAAAATTTTAGAATCAGGGAAGTATCTAGAAAAATATAATTGTAAATCGAACAAAATTGCCTGCGAACATAACTCGGCCTGACTAACATGAGATACATGGACTACATGTTTTATTTATAAAATAGTTTACAAATATTTTGGGTGACTTCACATCTTTCAATAATGATATATAAAATTTTAGATACTTCACATACGTTATATAATATCTTAGGTGTTTTTAATATTTTAAACATATATTTTTTATGTTATTTTATACAAGATAATTTTATATTGTTTACAACTGATATACGATAAATTATGTCACATATTAACTCCACAAATTAATTACAATTTTTAGTTAATATTGTTTACCTCATATTTAATTTATAATTAATTATTAGTTAATATTATTTATTATCATCGTTAATTTATAATTATTATTTAATATTATTTACCCGTGCATCATACGGGCTACACACTAGTTTGAAAAAAATGAGAGGAAAATTTTTTATGATTTGTATCGATTGAATAACCTATAATAATAATAATAATAATAATAATAATAATAATATTGGATTGTAATGGAAAAGGGAGGAAAAAACAAATAGCTTTATTAAATTTTTTGTTAGTAATTATATATATTTTTAGATAGAGATAATAAAATTGAATTATAACGGTTTTTTACGGGAAACTGTAAAAGTTTTATTAGATGATACTCCCTCCATTTTGAAATATAAGGCGTATAAAGATTTCTCAATTTTTTTGAAATATAAGGCGTGCTCAAAATTCAAGACAAATTTTTGCATTTTTTTCTAAATATACACTCATTGTGTTGAAATTAAAGAAGTGTGGAGTGGCTGTGATTAGAGTAAATAAGGTTAATTTAGTCAATTTATTCATTAATTAATATCTCCTTAATATTTGTGTAATAACCTTAAATGCCTTATATTTCAAAATGGAGGGAGTATGCTAGAAGATACATATATAGCCTGAAAACATAAGCAATTAATGCGAGCTGGAAGTAGGTCTGTCTAAGGTTAACGAATCTTTAATAAATAGACGACCAAATTTAATATTGTTGACATACTGTCACCGTCTTGAAAATGGATGAATAAAAAAAGGTGAAAATAATATAATAAATATTACAAATTTTTAAATATTTATACTATAAAACATAGTTTATGTTTTTTTTAGAGTGATGTTTTACGTTCAAATTAAGTATGCGTATCAAATGAAAAGATATAATTAAAACGTAAATATGCATAACACTAACCTTACTCAATAAATATATATTTGAAGAAAAAAAATCAAAATAATTGGATCAAGTAATTAAGTTTTATGAAATTGAAATGCATGGCTTCTGTTTCGAAACAACTGCATGTTACTGAAATTAGATCTAAATCAATTATCGAGATATAATAATTCGCATTGGGAATAATTAAGGTGTATCACATTCATATTAATGATTAAATATTGCAATAATTAAGTCCCTTAATTATTTATCCATGGCCTGATATATAGTACAAAGTTGTTATATTATTGAACAAAATGTCATGTTAGATAAAACAACTTTTTAAATTTTGTTTGACAATTGAGGTTTTAGGTTCAAAGAATCTCAAGTGATCTTTGTCGATGTTGTAATGACAATATATTGCACCTTACTAACTGTAAATACACAAACACAAAAGGTTTTAAGAATATTCTTTTGTGGACTTTGTTTTATTTGGTTTGAGATTATTCCATCTTTAAAAAGAACTTTAGCTAGACTTTAAGTAGGATGTGGTCTTATCTTTAGGCCAATATTTTGTTGAGTTTGATCCTTTTTGTTTAAAAAGTAAAAAATATATTGCAATGTGACTAAATAGAAAAATGAAAGAGTATAATGCCACAAATATTCAGCATTAAACACACTGTGTAAAGTTAACAAAATTCTATTCACAATTAGATCAACTTAAATCTAGCAGAGCACAAAACAATTATGTCTTTAAAAATTTGTTTTGTATTAATTAAATGATCACTACTAGTCTACTATACATTTTTCAATAAAATTCACTATTTATATGGTCACATAATTTTAATTTTTAACTACCAATCATCCACATTTCCATTTACTATTTATCTATATATAACATCAACTCTAGTCATTATATTTTATTTCATATTAGTTATCCTTTCTCCATTTTCCTTTTCCTACTCTCTAACTAACCTTTTTTCTAATCAAATTTTTATTTTTCAAAATAATTTATATTACACCCTAACCTTTTTTAAGAGTAACCTTTCAAGCTTTCATGCAACCTTCAGTACACTTTCTATTCCATCTTCTATATATTGGGCCTAACATTCATTTCTTTATGGACTTTCCTCTGTAAGGTCGCCATATGAAATGCGCCCATAATCATGTGGCATGGACCAAACCATTAGAGGGCCTACAACAATTGGGCCCATCTCAGATAACCATCTATGGGCCGAAGACTTCCTAAATTTCTGATCCAGAGATAACAACTTTTAAGCACGATTAATAACTATAGTCAGCTAATACGCAAGTTGGAGTTGTCTTTATTAACTAATGCAGCCAAACGAGTGGAAACTAATATGCAATTTGCCAACTTGTATTTAAATTCTGAAAGTAACACTTATTTGATTGTACTATAATACTAAAAAAAAAAAAATTAATATATGGATAAAACTTTAGTACGACTAATTATTAAATAGCCTACTCCCATTATGCAAAAACATGGTACTTTTTGCCACCCCAAATTAAATACAACAATAAAAGCCCTTTGTTTTTTCTACAGCCATGGCCCAACCTTGCTTCTGGCCCAAGACTTATACACCACTCCTCGTGACTTTTAACTGTAGTCAAATATTGCAATGATTTTAAGTGATCAAGATCTCCACTAATCTAGCTTAATTATTGTGGCTAAACATGACTCTACTATCACTAACAAAAATCATATAGTAGTATGATAGATTTCATTATTTAGTACGCCCTGTTTCTTTTTAGATGTTTTAATTTAAAAGTTCTAAATTATGATTTTAATGGGTTGTGTAATTATCTTATATACTAATCCTCTTAAATTTAGTGTTTGAGTTATTAATGGGTTGTTTTTAAAGATAATGATAAGAGATAAAGTTTATTAAAGAGGATAAAGTTGAAAGAATGAATAAAATATTTCCAACAAGAACTAATTTATAAAAAAATTGACATCCTACAACGACATGTATAAAAAAACAGAAGGAGTACCATTTTCTATTGTATGTAACATGGGCTTAGTTACATGCAAAATAGTTATGAATAGGGTAGAAAACCGATCTATCGTGAGCATATTAAGATGTGTCATTAACCATGTATTAAAATATCGTTAATCTTTGAATATAATACTCACAGTGCGTGGTATACTAATTTTCTGCCACATCAGCGAACTCCTTTATTGTAATTTTAATTTTTAGAATAAAATATGCATGCATTTAAACTTCGTGTAATGCTGCAATATCAAATGATATACAAATTGTGTTACCGAAAATACACTTAACAAGCATAAATTATCTATCATATTTGTTATATTATCAAATTCAACAATTCAGATTTTGCCAACAGTCTAGGTCTGTAAACGAGCCGAGCTCGAGCTTAGGGTGTTTGAGCTCGAGCTCGAGCCCTTAACGAGCTGAGCCGAGATCGGCTCATTAAATAAACGAGCCATAAATCGAGCTCGAGCTCAGCTCGTTTATCACTATTAACAAGCTGCGTTCGAGCCTTAACGAGTCGAATTATATAAAATTATATAAAAAACCTCTTTTGGAGTCTTATCAAGCCGAGCCGAGCTCAGCTCGTTAACCAAGCGAGCTGTAAATGAGCTTGAGCTCGACTGGTCAATAGCTCGAACTTGCGAGCTCAAAAGTTCGAGCCTTAACGAGCTGAGCCGAGCCAGACTCGTTTAATTTAACAGCACTCGTATAATTCGATAGGCCAACTAGTAAACTAGGAACCTCTCAAAGTAGATTAACTTAGCATAAACATTGAGCTATATGGAGCATAATCCACAGATTTTTTATATCTAATAATATGCAACTTGACATGAAATACTATAGCCAAACCATGTCCATTTGTCCTTCATAAAGACCAAATTTTATTGCCACACACGAGGCCACAAAATGGCATTATTGGCTAATGAGAGCCAATATTCTTGCATGAATTCCATAGAAGCTGAGAGAGATCAAACCAGGCAGATACTAAATTACCAAAAAACCCTCCATAGTTCTTCGTGTTCTTCTTCGTCTTGATGATGAAGGATGGGAACACGTCTTTAAGAAGATTGTTCGACATGGAGACGAATGACAATGCTGCCCCTGACGATTCACGGGCAGGATTGAAGAAACTCGGAAATGCTTTCGACTTGGGAGGTGATTATTGTGAGAAAGGTGAAGACTTTTCAAAGAAAAATCGGGTGAGGATAGAAACACGCAAGCGGAGATTGATGAGGACTAAGGCCTACAAGAGTTTACCAAGATTTGGCTTTTGGCGATGTGGGATTCGTGTTTGGGATCATTTTTCGTAATTTGTAAGAATGATTCGTGTCAGTAAAAATGTTGTGAAACCACATACATAGTACACATTGTTCACTTCTTCATATAATCTTTCCTTAGAATCTCATGCACACACAGTGCAAGAATGTGAATTTTGTACAAATCATGTGTAGAAATATTGGGAATTAGCAATTGTACATTGCATATAAAGGTAAAAATTGAAAAAAAAAATAAAAAATCAAACTATCTACAATACTAACTTATAACACAATGAGAAGAATTAAACTAACTTGAAGCATTATTTATGCAACTTATAATACAATGAGAAGAAATCAAACTATCTACAACACTCCCTTTTTCGATTTCAATTCTTCTGCTCCGACTATTCCACAAATGCACGGCGTAGCTTGACCGGTTTAGCTTCCGGGCCTGCGCCCTGGCCCATTTCGCACCAACCGAGCCTTCGGGCCTGGCGAAAAAGCCCGCGACTCGATTCCAATAAACTGGGTAAAAAGCCTCCGGGGGCAAAATGGTAAAATTACGCTCCTCCCCTGTTTCTACCAAACCATTAACCACTCTAGAGACCAAGTAAGGCCCATTGTAGCCCCATATATTCCCATCAAAGCTCAAGGCAAATTCCTCAATGAACTTGTGTAAAAGAAAGTGTTTTTTCTCAAAAACAAGAACTGCATTGTTCAATCTTGTCCATTTTCCACTCAAATCCACACTTTGTGCACCGATTGAGTTCTTCAAACCCGAAATATCCTTAAGGATTATAAAATCGGTATCCATATAAACTCCTCCGTATTTATACAAAGCTGCAAGCCGAATCAAATTCGACAAGTTTTGTGCTAACGGGATTTTCCCGGGCTCCCTTTTCCCGGTTTTGAGCTCGACGAGCCAATTTTCAGCAGGGGTGTTTTTCAGCAAGGCTTGAAAATCGGGACTCATTGCTCGAACGCGAAAACCGAGACCGATCAACGGGTTTAGAATATCTTTTCCCTTTTCGGAATCCATAGTCCTCGATAGAATAACCAAACAAGCCTTAGGATTTGTTTGGAGTAAGCTCTCTAGGCTGAAAAACTCCCTTTCTCCGAACATATCCACGTGTGAGAACCATGTCATGAAAACCCGAGTTTCGCATTTATTAACGCCGAAGAATTTTGTAACTCTTGAATCGAAAGTCGAGCTCAAATAGTTATAGGATTTTGCTAATAATAAATCCAACTCTTGATCAGGGTTCTTGTTATTAAGTGTAAAATGTTCTTCACTTGTTATCCTGAGCTGAGTTGCTTCTGTCTGGAGAATGTGCAACTGGTTTCGAACTCGGGCTTTTACATTTCCATTCGAGTCGAATTGGAGGGAAAGATTCGAAACGATGCCGTTTGAAAAGAATATGATCAAGAAGATGATCAGTACTAATGTGATGGTGGAAAATATGTTGATTTTCAGAGGTGAAAATCTCACAGAATCAAACATGTTGTACATAAAAGATTTGAACTTTTTTTTTTTCTCTTTTAGCTCAGAAAAGANTTCTTAAAAGTTAGTAATATGAGGATTGAGAATAGAATATTGAGGTAGAGATGATGAGAACTTGAGAAGAATATAGTGCACAAGTAGATGATTTGTTGTTAAAGACTTTTAAGTATGATCTTTAGGGTTTGATCAAAGAGCTTAATAATTTTTAGTTGTGCCTAATAAGACTTCAAAAACGGATGGCCATAGGAGACTTTTCTTGCCGCGTTGTATGGGACCTCAGACTCAGATCGGTAAACATGGAATTTTTGTTCTAAATCTTTATTGACTTGCATTAAAAAAAAAATGTTGTAAGAATTGTGAAATGTATATTTGACACATGAATTAGTCTCTCTCTATATATATAAGTAGTCAAGGAAAGGGAGAAAAGAAATATTAAGGGAAAGATGTTGTTAATCTCACTAGTTTACAGAGCCACTTATCAAATTATGTGTTGACAATATATTGACGGTTGATTGTTGTAATATTACAATGGCAATTGTAAACTAAATCTGTAAATCAATCTGGTGTTGTAAATTATAATGTCGGTGTTGTAACGTGACTGGTAAGGGAAGTAGTTAGAGGTAGAAGAGAGAAATGAGTCAATAATTACTAAGGTTTATTGTGTAAGTACCATGTTATATATCTAATTGATGTAATTGTTTGTGTAAATATGCAACTACTACAACTATAAAAATAAAATATAATCCATCTATAATAATTACATATAGATAGCTATTATTGTGCTTGAGAATTGAGTCCAATTTCTATCTTATGGTGGGGCCAAGGCTCCTTCATTTCCCTTCCTTAGCATGGGGTCATTTAGTGTAACATATGAATTATCAACTAAAAAAAGGAAAAAATTGCTCTTTTTTCAGGGTTACTATAGACGTTCTCATTTGGAGACACTCATTGTGTCTAGGCTGGCCTTTGGTATAATTCATTCCTTAAGATAGTAAGATTTCTCCACAAATACATATACATTTTTATATATAATCAACACAGTTTAAGAAAAATAAATAAAGAAATCTATACATATTTATTCAAAAAGTATGAGGAGTTATCATTTTTACATATGATACAAAATTTGTGCTTAACAGTCATGTTCATTGAAGGTGTCAAAATAAAAAACGATTTGCGTTTCATTAAAATTTACACAGCCATTTGGACTTCAACAATTTCTTGGCTGTTGCCTAAGAGAACAAATATTAAAAACCTGGTCAGCTAATGAAAGTTGAAAATCACTTTGAGGAACCTAAATGAGAATCGAGCCATTTCACAATTTTCCAACGTGGGCTAACTGCCTAACATAAAAGGAAACTGAAAAAGAGAAAAAAAAAAGCATCAAGTGAAAATATACATTTAAGACAAAATTGTAACAACACTGAAGAGGAATCTCTAATTAAAACAAAATCCCACCACAGATTTACAGATCATGACTAAAAATTAAAACATCTCCTTCTNCAGTACTAATACACCGGTTCCTATTGAGGTGTGTCACAAATCCTCGTATATATATATCTGACATGAAAGAAAAAGAAGTCTCGATTTTGATTAAAAGGTGAATCAAAGCTCCTTTAGGCCACCATCAAGCAATAACGGTTTACATTGATACGGCATTTATACCTTTTCCAAATGAACTGAGTGGATCTTTTAATTCAATCCACTGGCATTTCAAATCGGATATTTTTCCCGCCCTTAGATTGTTTCACTTGATTAAGAAAAAGGGCTGTGTAGGTCCCAGATCAGCTACCTGTCACGATTTTGTATGATTATCAACATCGAATTCTAGTACAAGTAAGAAAAAAAAAAATACAGCTACGAATTTGCAGATAAGTACAGGGTAAAAAACTTCCTTCAGTAACATTTGGAAACTGGCAAAAACTTGTGGATACTGACTAAAAGTTTGAGTTTTTTTTTCAAGTGTTCTGTCTTATTTTTTTCAGTTTTTCTCAGGCTTTTTTAGTTATTTTGCCTTTCATTTTTTCTTGGTTCTTCATTATTTCAGTTTCTAATTACAATTTTTTTTTACAGAAAAAATAAAATAAAATTCCATTTGAGGGGGATTGATGCTGTTACCTCCGAAAGAGAATCTTCAAAACCAAGGAAGATGCTGAAGCTGATCGATCAACAAGGCCACCGAGCTCCAACTTCCACCACAAGCACGAAAATTGCAGAAGATGGTGATTCATTGCAAACCCGTATAACTAGTCATAAACCATATCAAAAACGGGATGTATTGTCGAAAGTTCCGACTTGTGAAGTACTTTGTTTGGAATATCCATTACTAACTAGTGGTTCTTCTGATCCAGGCTTGATATTGTCCCAGAGAAACCCATTGTCTTTCTCCAGAAAGCTTTTATCAAAGTTATTATTATCCACTGCTCTGGAATGAGGTGTAACATAAGAGAGATAATCATCTGCAATAACAAAACTACAGTTAAAAAAGCAGAAAATATAATGATAATTTTTTTTGACATTTCTGGAGCAACTAATTAAAAGTTGACCAGATTTTGAAGGGATAAAACTGTCAAGATATTTCCATGAATTCACAGACCAAAAAAGAAAAATACAACACGAATCAACAATCATTTAGGAAATTATATTAGTATTCATGAGCTGCTAATCAGTCAAAGTCATATAACATAAAGCTAGAAATTGAGGGCCTCATGTATGAGTCTACTTATATTCTTTAAATAAAATAAAAATGAAACACTGCCTTACCTGCCAAGCAACGAAGTGCATTCTCAGCAGCCTGCTGCTGGGCGTCTTTTCTTGTCTTGCCCATTCCTATACCAATTTTTTCACCGGTAAAGAAGACCTACACATTGTTTTAGCTGATCGTCAGATAATCCACAAAAATCAAAGAACTATAAATATCAAAGTGGCATGTGATGTTTTGTGTTCATTCAAGTATTTCAAAAGGAAGGCACGGCTTTTGATTGCTGTATGTACTTGCTAATCTGTGAGGTGAAAATGGAGACCTACTAACAAAAAACAATGAGTGTTTGTGCCAAGGTCAACCTATTTGCAATCAATTATTCATTCTATGCAATGATTCTTAAATAGTCATTAACATAAATCTGGAGTTAAACTCATCAAAACTGCTTAAATATTTCAAATGGAGTAAATAACCCATGCTAGAAAGTAATGTTATATAAAGTTCACGATACCAACCTCCATTGAGAACTGCAAATCATCACTGGTACCGACAACAGGCCTAAATTCAACCTGAGTAGCAACAAGTAAAAGATAAAACCAAGTGGGAAAACAAAACAGGATGGTCATGAACATTAGTTGTAAAAAATATTATGGATTTACCTTTGACCTGCATCTCCTCCCAATCTCTTGGAGCACGCTGATGGACAAAGATGGCAACAGATTTGTCTTATCACATTCAGGCTTGAGTTCTTCATCATGAAAGGATGACATGTTAGACAGCCAAGGACAACAAAAGGCAGGGATATATGCAAAAATCGGAGTTTCTATACCTGTCAACGGAGTCTGCTTCTGATGATCATTCCGGGAGTTGGTCTGCATTACAGTGAAGTTATATTGTTCAAAGGACACAATTCAATGTTAATAATCATTACATAAACTAGAAAAATTGCACGTTTGCAACCTCTTCATTATTTACTAGAGATGCATTTGGTGGTTCTTCTGGTAATGCAGACGATGTACCATGACCGAGTGAATTCTGACGAACTCGTTGTCTATCAAAGGGATCACTTTCCGGAATAATTCCCGGGCTTCGTCCGTTGAAACTTCCTTTATTAGGGTCATCTTCCACTAACCAGCCTCCTTGAGGTTGCAGGTGAGGTGCCTGCCAAGGCAATCTAGATAACAGAGGTGGCTCAGTTGAAGCTGAAAGCTTGGAATCTCTTCGAGATGGATCACCAAGCAAACTAGGTTCTGCAAAATCGTTTGGCAAAAATAAAAGAAATCAAAAACAGAACTAAAAGATACAGGGAAAAAATTACATGTATTAAAATTTTGCAGAACCAGGTAAAAAAAATACTTCATACTTTCAGAAGATAAGGGTACTCTTGTGGATGCAGGAGCAGCAACACTTGCAACAGGTACCACAGGGGGCTTAAAGCTTTTGGATTTTAACTCAAAGTTATTAACTATTGGGTGAGAAGCAGCAGGGTTTGTGACATTCTTCTCTTCCTGAAAATCCATGGATGAACACAAACTAAGCAATAATCATATGGGTCTTCCAGGCTTTCCATCGTGCAGATGAACTGTTGAAATATATAATGAACAGGAAAGATAAACTACCAGTCTTTGTGCAACTTCAGGTCCATTAACTCCCTCAGCAATTGGGACATTCGGATTTCCGTTTGGCACAAAACTAGCATCCTAAAGAAGTTTCATTTTAGTATTAATTTTGAGTTCTCACAGTAGAATGGGGACAAAATCTCCAGTTGTTTACCTCTGATATCAAGAAGTTGCTCACATCTGGTGCACAAGGTAAGTTCACAACTTCATCTTCGTAGAAGATTTCTGGTATTTTTCGCAGTAGATTTTCATCGAACTCTCTGATTGTCACAGAATAAACAATTTGAATGCCAAAAGGACATGAATGCAGAAGAATACTGAGTGGAAAAAACCGACATATATAAACCTACCAGAATTTTAACAGAACAATTCTTAGAGAGCAGTCTCTTGATTCTTCATCTTTTTATTTTAGTTATTTAAATAAATGGACTCAGGCCCTTAGGGTAATGATTACCATTTTGGGATAGGATATTACATATGAGAGTACTATTGCTAACAGTGGAGATGGTCAGAATAATTTAGTTTGCAGCTCTAAGGATGCGCTGTAATTTTTCAAGCCCAGGAGGAATTATTTGATTAACTTATACTTTATGTCTTTTGTGATTGTAATTTCTTATTCTTTCTAACCTCAAAACCTGACTGCATCAACAATAGTAATTCAGCTTACTTGAAGAAACCTCCTCTGACGTTGCATGCCACATTTCTCGCCACACAAAGGACAGGTACAGCATTTGCATTCTAGATGTAAAATGGTGGTTCAGTTACAGAACATGCTGAGTTACTATAAGCATCGACAAACTGAAAACTGGGATACCTCAGCCTGAGGGGCATAATATGGAGTGAATGCTGGAACTACATGAACACGAGGCTGATCTTTATCTTCCCAAACCTTTAATCGGTCATCTATCACCATCGCCATTTTCGGATGACAATTGCCATTCTGGAAGACATTAAGCAATGATTTCCTGGCCCCTAACAGAGCATACCCGCAAAAAGTCAATTAAAAAGAGTATTATTTGACTATGAAAAGGCATGAAACAAAATTCATCATAATCTAAGTAGTAGGCGTAGAAACATCTAGATGAGTTAAGATCAGTGATGAACTTTAGTAACAAATTGTTCCCAATGAAAAGTGCATGCCATATCGATAAGGATCAAATGTTGCATAGGAGTTAAGACGTACACATTTAAAGATACTATACCAACAAGAACATGTACTTTACCTGGTTTGACACAAACAACACGGTCCAGAAGTTGCTTGGAGCTAATCAAGTGTGCCTCTGGATCAAGAAGCCTCCACATTTCTAGTGCATAATCTCTTTCAGCCATGGTACAAACAAATACTTCAAACCTCTTCCGGCCTTTCGCGGTTAAATAATTTTTCAAATCTTCCCAAGCAGGTCGTAACCTCACTAACACACTGGTATCACGATTCTGTACAATAGAATGTCCGAATAAGAAAGTAATTAAACTAATGAAACTAGCCACTAAAAGACAAACGCCGTGATTAGCAGACTTAATTTACAATAACCTAAGTTGCATAAAAGTCGGACGTAGGTCCGATGGCATTTGAATACATTATATTAACCAAATAAATGCAATAATGCTTTACAACTAGAACAGGAAACACAGCTTGCACATTCATTATATCAGCAGTTAGTATCTACAACTCCCACGCTTAACCATGCCCTACCATTTGAACAAGGGAAAGCATGAACTCATATCACCAAAATATAAGTTAATGAACGGCAAATAAAATAGTTTCCTCTAAATATGTCTTCTAACCTCAGGGTTAATACGCGTAAGAACAATGTTTTTCTCCGGCAATCTGACTACAGGCCGAAAAACACGGTAATTCCCATCAGATAGCATAGGAACTTCCTCCTGCTGAACTTTATACACTTTACCACCATCCACAACACAGTTGGTCTCTGCATACTGCTTCAATAATGCCCGGTCCTCAACATATCGCTTCATCTCCGCTGTCATCCCAGATTCCCGGATAGGGTCAGTCTCACGTGCTATCCACCCCATTAAAGCCTCAATTCTATCTTCAAACGACTTCATTGTGTTAGCAACAATCAGAGTCTCGTCAAGATCGAACACAATTGCCAAACACCGCGTGTTCAACATCCATAAACATGAACTGTATAAACCACATGGCACAGAATAACACCAAAAGCACGGAAATCTCTTCTGCTTGCTAGGCATGGCAACCAAATGAACCTCCTCATTACCGAGCAACACAACAGCCGTCTACACAAAAAATAAACACATTAAACAGAATTTACAAGTCAGATAAATTTATATTCGCCGGCATACCAACTAACCAACAAATTCCAAATGGATAATCATTCATAACTGAGCGAGTGAGCCTAGAAGTGTGGACAAACAGAACCTCATCATCCAAAAACATCATCATATTCATATGTTCAACCGAATAACAGTCAAAATAGCAAGCCAAATCCAATGAACTATCAATCCCAGCACCATCCTCGAACACATTGCAGCTAATGCATATAGAGAACATTTCTAATGTGCAAAATGTGACTGAAAAAAAGAATGAAAACAAAATGCAAAAACCTTCAGCTCATAAAAGCAAGTTGCGTGGAGATTGGTGAGCAGCGACTGCTCTCCACCGGGGGTGGAGCTGCCATTAGAGCCGGGCTCGAGCTTGCAGCGAACGGAGGCATATGAGATCGTCTGGAGCACAGACAGAGGATGACATCTCTCGCTGACTGGGGTTATGTGGCGAATCCGAATCTCATTGTTGGGAAACTGGAAATTAACACCGTTCACCGGAACTGTTTCCAGCTCCCCGAGATAAACATCACCATGATAAACCACGGATTTAAACCCTAATCGGCTCATAATTCTTTTCGAATTTTTTGGGGAAAAAAGATTTGGGTTGATGATTTAGGGGGAAAAAAAATAAATGTTAGAAAAATTACACCCCACCGTGCATGATTTTTTCTCTCTCCCCTCTCCCACCGGAGTTCTCGCCGGAGTTTTTCTTTTTTTTTCTTTTTTTCCTTCTCTCTACTCTTTCACTCCCTCTCGAGCAGCGGTTTGGAAAGAAGGGGATGCTGTGGCTTTATATAGAAATGCGCGAAGGGGCAGTTACGTAAAACGGTCTGATTTTGTCGGAAATTACGGGTCGTGCCACGATTTGTCCGTATTCGAGTGTCTGAGGGTAAATTCGGTAAAATAAAGAATTTTTGTAGGTTATGAAGGTGGTGAAAAAAGTGGGGAGGTCACGCCTTGTGAGAGGGGATGGTGGATGGGGAGTACACGTGTCGGATTTTGAGCGGTCCGATTAGCGTCCGATGTCGTGTGGTGTGGTAATCGCTAACGTTGATTTGATGACTTGTTTTAGGGCTTCATTTAATTCGACCTTTTCAATCTCAGTTACAAAATTCAGGTTGTTAGTTATATACTAGTATTCGACATTGTGCATTTACACAGATGTAAATAAAATTTAATTTTATAAATTATGTTTATGTATATAATATAAAAATTATAAGTTATATAATTGTATTATATTTCAAACATATAGTATTATAAGTTATATTTATGTATATAATATTAAATTTATAAATTATATAATAGTATGATATTTTAAAATTTGATCATTGGTTAAAATAAATAGTACACACGATTTGATTGTATACGAGAATCACTATATTGATTGCATAAAATGCAATAAATATATACTTTTTATAATTTTGAGTGATCATGACCAATTAATTAGCTGAAAAATATTACATTTATTATAACAATTGCTTATGTGATTTTAAGAAATTTTACTATGACATAAACAAAATTAATTTATTAATAAACAACATCTTCATCATATAAAAAAATATTGATTTTAGTGTAAAATATAATTTTATGTAACTTTCATATATTATTTAGTATAAAATATAATGACTAATTTTAATATTAACTATTATATTATTCAATAAAAAATATAATTACTAATCAATTAACATAAAATATAATGGTTTTGTCTTAATTAACCCAAAATGTAATGAATTATTTTCTTATTAATGAGATTGGGTGTATTAATGCCACATAAATAAAATTTATTAGGTTCTATTTATTAGGTTTTATTAATGATTTGCCACATAGGTAAAATTTATTAGATTTTATTTATTATGTAAAATTTATTACTTAGCTAGCAATTATATATATATAGATTCGCTGCACAAAATAATATAATAATCCAGTGATAAATATATGTGTTTGTTTTATATATTGTTGTCTTTTAAAACTATTTGAGCAGAAATTTTGAAATTACGGTAATTTATATATTTGCAAAAAATAGAATATGAAATGTGAGAAAATAGAAGGTGCAAATTGAACATCTCTAAAATAGATATTTTCAGCTGTTCGATATGGTTAACATTGTAATCAATTTATAATTATTTATTAATCATATTTAGAGAAATGCGTGCATAATTTCATACTATTTTTTGACATCGATTTTGTCTAAGAATTTTGGAACCTTTTTAACTTTAACCCCTAAAAAAAATGGTTACATAATTGACTACGTGACCAAATATGTTTGAAAAAAAATGGTTACATAATTGACCACGTGACCAAATATGTTTGGCACTCATAATATGTGTATTGTTCTTCTAGATAATCAATTTTTTGAGTTTATCGATTAAAATTGTCACATAAAAAAATATTTATTTTTTTTTTCTGAAAAAGCATAATATTTTCATAATCACAAATTTACAAGCGTATAACTAGCCGAAGAAAACAACCAAAGGCCAGAGAGGCCTACAAGTCGGCTCGACTGTAGTCTAGAAACTATACCAAAAACACTCACAAGGCTAAAAAACTAGGGGAAAATTTCAAAACTAGTCCCACAGGTATGGAGGTGACAATTTTAGTCCCGACGGAATGCAAAAAATATGAATAGTCCCACAATTTTTAAAAAATGATCAAAAGTAGGACTTTTTCGCCGAATTTACTATTTCCGGCGTAGATAGAAAATAAATTCAAAACTAGTCCCACATAGGGGGTAACATTTTTTGTCCCGATAGAATGCAGAAAATTCAAAACTAGTCCCACAACTTGTAAAAGAATATGAACACGTCGGATGCCAGCGTGTAAAAAAATAAGCCACGTGTGCGCCACGTGGCATTCCAGGCCGGAAATAGTAAATCCGGTGAAAAAGTCCTACTTTTGATCATTTTTTAAAAGCTGTGGGACTATTTCTATTTTCTGCATTCCGTCTGGACCAAAATTGTCACTCCCCTATACCTGTGGGACTAGTTTTGAAATATTCCCAAAAACTAGCAACACTATAATACAAAGCTCCCACTAGTGAAGAATGGTAACTCCCAAAGGGGAGAAAAGATACATAAACACACAAATATAAACACACTAGACACTCTATATACTAGACTAAAATACTCCCAACCGGCCAGGAACACCCAACACCTCCACAACCCGAACCAACACCTAACATGATCTGCCAATAAGAAGTCACATGGTCCACGGCCCAACACACCGAGTCTAGAAACTTCCCTAGCGGCTAACTATACTCGGGCCAAATAGATCCGAAACCTCCCCCAGGAAATCACAGACTCATGCCGGCTAGACCGCGCGCACCACAACCCAACATGCACACACCAGCACCACAGCACCGCCACAACGTCGTCGCTAGAGAAAACTGCCTTCTCAACATAAGAGGATGCCGAATAAGGGAAAAACCAAAGATCAATCCACCCCTTCACCACCACAAAGGCTGCCACCGACGACCGACGAACCGAAACCACCAAACCTTCCAAACCTCGAGCTCACATCATAGCAAACCGAAAAGGATCAAAATCCACACCGCGTTTAGACAGAACTTTATGGTGTGAACATAATTTATTTTTCTTTTGGTTTTCCTGCATCATTCAAGACTGAGTGTATTGTTGTGACGACAAAATAATTTAGACTTTAGTTAACATGTATCAGAATAATTCAATATTGCATTGAGAAATCATTGATTTACAAAAAAAGACAATAGTAATTTATGGTGATTAACTAAGTGCTAATTGGCAATATATGAAAGGTAAATAAATTTGGTTTCGATGATAATTAACTTATTGTTGTTATGTAATTTATGAAAAGAAATTAACATGTAATAAGTAACTTCTTAAGAAAAAAATAAATGTTAATAAGTGACTTCTAATAGTTAAGTTTTGGTTTTGTTATAAAGGCCCATCTCCCATGTGGTAGTGGTGCTTAATTTTTTTGTTTTGGAAAATATGGCCCAAAAGTTGGACTATTATATTTTATCAGTAATGATATGGAGCCAATTGTTGGCTCCGTTACGGAGCCAACAACCAATGGGACAGCTCCATGTGGGGCTGTCCCACATGCCTCCAATGTGGAACAACCACATATGGAGCTGTCTCATTGGCTGTTGGCTCCATAACGGAGCCAACAGTTGACTCCTTAGCATTATTGTATATTTTAGATCCCATCTAACTAACTTATTGTGGTTGTTGAATGTATTTAATTGAAAGTTTTAAAATTTTAGAATTATAGTGTATTTGAATGAAATTTTTGAATTTCTAAAAAGTTTACATGTACTCAATTGAGACTTTTAGACTTTTTATAAATTTTTAAAAGTTTCAAGGTATTCAATTAAGCTTTTATAAGAGTCTTTATAAGTCACCCGATATTGAAAGTAGAAAAATTTTATAATTCCGTTTTAATTTGGAGGGTTTTAAAAAAAAAAAAAAATTACGAAGACAAATCTTGGTAGAAATACCATTAAATTATTAAGATTTTGTTGAATTTACATGACTCTACTCAAATCCTGTTTTATCTCTATAGGATTTATGTACATAACTATATACCTTACATCACGTTCATATTCTCTTGCTTTACTAATTTATCTTGATAGTACATTTAACGTAATTTTTTCTTTTATTTATTTTTTATTATGATTATTTTACTTATGTTTATTTTTATCATCACAATTGTTTGTTTGTGAGTTTGACTTTTCAAAGGCTCACGAAAGTTTAAATCGATAATACATAATTAAAAAATAAGTAGTTCATGAAATCAGTTTAACTAAAAAGAAATTAAAAAAAAGTCAGTTTATATTTTATTTTATTAATATTAGTTATCATGCAAGTTTCATGAACATTTCACAACATTTCATACAAACATGAACATTTCACAACACTTCACACAAACATTTCATACAAACGTATCAGTTAATAACCAAATGCTTATTAACTAATTAACCGATCTTTTGTTGTTGTTTATGCAGTTGATTATCAAGAGCCAAGAGAAATTCCATGTCAAAGGCTAATAAGACAATACAATACTGGGATGCAATTGCTGAGCTTTCACTGAGAAAAAAAATGGTTCCAGTCAGAGAAAAGAAGAGCAAGAAGAAGGATAAGCAAAAGAAGCCTTCAGTCCTCGTGCTTCCGGGCCCAAAGCCCGAGAAACCGACTGATATTTCCCCAAGGCTTCAACTTGTGAAGCTCAAACACAAATTTTTGGGGTGACATGAACATAAGAAAAGAATTTAGTCATATAATCAAGGTAAAGCTTAATTATACTTTGAACTTGTTTGGTAAGCACCATAAGTTAATTTATAAGCTTTATGTATAAAAATAAGTTTGGTTTGATAGGACGAGTTTATTTCATAAGCTTCTTTAGGCAATTTTTCAAATAAGTCCGTAGGAATTTTTACTTCAGCTGGCTTATCAGCTAATTTTACCACACTTTTATCACTCAGCTAGTTTTTCAGTCATAAGTCATAAGTTATAAACACGAAATTCACATATAAGCTATCAGCTAGTTTTACCAAACATAGTCTTTGTACCATTATTCATCGAGGCAACATCTGTATACTAGTTGTGAAGGAAACCTTTGACTGAGTCGAGCTCACAAAAGGACTAAACGAATGTTTCGTTTTGTCCGAACGAGATGAGGCCCCATCTTTCGTTTTTTGTGGCCTGTAAAATCCGGGCTCTGACAACACGCTCTCGTTGAGATTAACATTGGTTGAAAGCATTCTTATCACCTGATTCATGTCCGGTCTGCGTTGAGAAGCCGCTTGGGTACAAAATAGCGCGACTTTTATGAAGCGCGTGACTTCGTCTTTCGGGTAGTCCCTTAATTCCGGGTCCACAAGCTCTAAAACTCGACCCTCGATGTACAGTTTCCAAGTCTGCATATACGAATACATAAAATTTTGTGAATTAGCTTAATGAAGAATTAGATTCTGCAGTTTTGAAACTATAAGGATACTTTTCATAATTAAGCTATGTTTAGTAACTAAATAAGCTAGCTTATAGTTTATTTGGTTAGCTTATAAGCTTTCTGTATTCAAATAAGTTTTGTATGGTAGGACGAGTTTTTTTAAAAAGCTCGATATTATCTCATGAGCTTATTTGGGTAACTTTTCAAATAAGCTCGTTGAAATTTTTATTTCAGCTAGCTTATCAACTAATTTTACCAAACACTTTTATCATATAAGCTAGCTTTTCCACTAAAAGTCATAAGTTATAATATCAGCTCGAAAATCACTTATATAAGTTATAGGCTAGTTTATCAGCTATCAACTACCTTATCATCTAGTTTTACTAAATATAGCCTCAATCCTCAAAATTTAATTTTACTAAATATAGCCTTAATCCTCACAATTTCAAGTTTCCACTTGTACAAGTTATTATCTCTATCGACAAAGACACGCCGAATAGCTTAATCAAGATGGGTAAAGAAACCGACCCATTCGAGCAGAACCAAGAAATCATCCCCAAATGTGGCCTTACTGCTACTTTCGCCGCTTATAATCTCGAGCAACAGTACCCCAAAGCTATACACATCGGCCTTTTTAGTAAGTTGACCCAGCTTAGCATATTCGGGAGCTAGATAACCCCTGCAAAATGACAATTGTCGAACTTACAAGGGGAAATGGAGATTAATATAACATATTTCGTGAAATTTTATTAAAATGCCAACTTGTATTTCGACTTTCGCGACAGACAAATATAGCAACATTTTGCAATCACAAATCACAATTTAAAAATGGGCACATTTTTGCAATAATCCATAATAATTTTTTTTTTCTTTTTTTTACCGGTATAAAGTTGTTGTACTGTACTCACACTGTTCCAGCTACTCGTGTGCTAACGTGGGTGACATTATCGGGAAATAGCTTTGCTAATCCAAAGTCTCCGATTTTAGGGAGGAAATTGCCGTCGAGAAGGATATTGCTAGCCTTTATATCTCGATGGACAATGCAAGGATCGGAACACTCGTGAAGGAACACGAGTCCTGAAGCTGTGCCTATGCATATTGCAGCTCTCTTGGACCAATCCAGCTCAACACGTTTGCCATTCGAGACTGATAAAATGATGCCTCAAATCACATGAGAGAAAAAAAAAAAATTAGCATAATCTTTAGTGATAATTAACTACAACCAAAAAAAAGAGACTGGATTCAAAATTAGCATGATCCTCTTTATATTGGCTCCACATACACTATTTGTAATCATCAATCACTTGTAAACATGATTCTTTCTTTAATTTGTAATCATCCATCACTTACTAAGACCAATAAAATCTCCATGTTATAATTATTATTAATATTACCGAGTAGGGAATTGGCGAGGCTATTGTTCTCCAAATATTCATACACCAATATTCGGTTATTCCCCTCAACACAACAACCAACGAGTCGAACTAAGTTCGGGTGTTTTATGTTGGATATCATATTAATCTCGGTCAAGAACTCGTTAATCCCTTGTTTGGATTCGGCTGAAAGAGACTTGATGGCTACTCGAGTCTCATCCCTCAAAACTCCCTGCAATTTGAAAAGGATTGACAAGAAAAATAAGACATCTTAAAAAAAAATGTGACATTCATATATCAAAAACCCACCTTATAAACGACCCCAAAACCACCTCGTCCAATTTTGTTCGATGGATGAAAAAGCCTCGTGGCTGATTGCAAAGAGCGATACGTAAAGAGTCTGACATTATTTATAGCAACATCATCTGACCAAGTAAGAAAAAAAAATCAGATTAAGAAACCATCAAATGTTCCAAATAATCGGTAAACTATAGTGTTACGGGTAGAAGGCTCTATAATAATGTTCCACATATTAAAAAGTACTGAATAAAACAGAGAACATTCATAGGAAAAAAGACATCAAGAGATAAATCTTTAGTTTCGAGGGCAATTTTACAGTTTTACTCACTTCACAAATGTCAATGTTGTCTATCAAGACTTGTTAATAGTTTAAAATTCAAAGCACATTCTTACTGGATAAATTTAGTAAACATCAGATATTCATGGCACGAATTTACGGAGGATTTCACCATATATATCTGTGCACTGCACACACCAGGTTTTTCACTGTTGAATTCACACAGACCCATGTGGGTATGTGTGTGTGTGTGCATGTGATCCCACGATGAAAAACCCAAGTGTGTGTAGGATCGAATCTAACCGAAATTACACTTTCCTTAATATCTGTAGTGATAGAAAACTCAACTCTACAACAATCTGCAGAACAAAAGACCCAACCTTTTTTAGCTTCTCACTTCACAGGCTTTCAACTCAAAATCGTACTCGAATCAACAATATCAACAAAACTTTATAGAAATGACCAGAAAAGGCCAGCATAAAACTCTGAGCAGCATAACAAAAAATTGATGATACATATAAAACAATCAACTAAATAGCCTAAGTTTACCTTCGGGTTCGGTTGTAGAATTCTCTTTGCCAGAACCAAACGCTCCAAAACATGTCGAAAAAAACATAATCACTTTTTTTCGCACAACGTCAAGAGAATAAAAATTCAATCTTTAATCACATTTGTTCTGTAAATTTACAAAACAATTAAACAAATCCCTTACAAACCAACATCCGCGCCATAATATTAAGCCATATCATTATATTTAAAGAATAACATAACACCAAGCAAAAAGTGTACGAACCCACAAAGCCAATAAGAATAAGAGAAGCAATAAATAGAGTGATAAAATATCGTGGGTTTTACACGATGAACTTATTTATGCACCTAAATTGTGGTTACAAACCTCAACAATCGACATTAAAATAGTATTATTAAGAAAGCGAGTTGTCTGGTTGAAGAATTTAAGTGCATAATCAACTTCTTGCGGCGAACTTTGAGAGCTGTGCAGTGTTTGACAACGTAAAGAAGAGGAAAAAAGTTTTAATTTTGGGGGAAAAGGGACAGGCGATGATGGTGATGTCCAGCGGCAATTGAATTTTGTTTTCTATCCTTTTTTCACACAGCTAACTAAAAGCAAGCTGTGAAAATTTGTATATCCTCGTGTTGATGATAATATGATGACGACTGGTTTTAGCTGCTCACTGAAAGCGGTTTTTTTTGGTGGTTTTTGCCTACGGTTCGGTTCTTACAATTTTGTCGCGTTTGAGTTGAAATCGGGGTAGTGGGCTGGGTCAGAATTTTTTTTTTTTTAANNAA